GCGCGCGCGCGCACACACACACACACACACACACACACACGCGCCTGTTTTCTCTTTCTCTCTCAGAGCTACTCCTGCAGCAAGTCCAGAAAGGAGGGAGGAAAATGTGTCTAGATGTTTCATTCATTTCAGATCAGAAAACGAAACCAGAATAAGGGTGATTGCCTTTAGGTTCCTCTTTCAAATCCTGTGTTACTTGGATTTCGCTGGTATGGGTTTGCTAAACTTGCTTAATTGGGAGCTGAGGCTGGTGTGAAAGGAGGAAGGAAGGGAGAGCCAGTTCCATCTTCGGGGCCTTGTGAGTGAGAAGGTGGGGGAAGACCCACTGATTTCATCAAGAAGCAAGATGTGTTTTCTTGAGTGGTTTTCATTTTACAAATTCCACCTGCTTGAAGAATTCCATTTGATTCTAAGTGCTATTTTGCTAAGATTTCTCCCGCCTACTAAAAAAAATGAGTCCTGCTTCCCTGCCCCCCCCCCCCCCAAAATAGCTGTTGTCTTGTATGAAATATGGGATGTTAATTACTGGGGGGGGGGGGGGGATAAAGAACTGGACAGAGGTAGACCATCATTGACTGTTGAGCTGTGCAGGGGTTGCAAAGGATGTAAGTATCCACGACAATCAGACTTCATTTACTCCGTCTTGAAAGCTTAACAGGGCTGGAAGAGGAGAGTAATGAATTAAAAGAATATGAAGGCTGTGCTTTATATCTCTCTGTCTGTCGGTCTCTATGTCTATCCGTCTACTTACTTACTTGTCTATACATCTATCTTTCTATCTATCATTACTATTTAATGGTTTCTGCTAGATCATTTTGGATTAAGAGTAGGGGCTAGATAACCATTTTGTTGACCATAAAGGGGAAGAGAGGTGATATAGCAATAGCAGTGTTTGAACTCCAAATAAAATTACAAAAGGAAGTTGAAGTATAGTCAGGACTAGTTGCAGGAATCACATTAATTGTTCTTTCAAGCTTATGATGTTTCAGAAAAAAAAAAATTCCAAGAGAGCTTCAGTATTTTGTTAGCAAGCTATATTTAACATGTTTTTTATCAGACAAAAATAGACTTTTATTTATCTTGCAAAGTAAACGCATGGCTTCTTCCCTCTCAGTATTTAATCTGTTTCTTTGAAAAAAATAAATGAGGATAAAAGCTCTGCAGACCCAATGAAGTTGCATTCCTGCTTTAAAGCAAGTTAAAGCATCCATTTAGGTCATGGATGTGTTTCTCCCAAAGTAAGTGCATTTTAGGACTTTGCCATATGATTTTCATGTTGCAATTCAGTGAGAGGAGCCCTTTCAGGTAGAGGGAGCACAGCCTGGAGGTTAAGAAGCAAGCTGTCTGCCCCACCAGCATGGAAACAAACAAGATCCCAGTTGAATTAGAGATTAAATCTGGAAAAAGAAACACATGAGTAAAAGAGGATGGTACAGTACATATCTTGCATGCTTTATATTTTTTGCAGTGTGAATGAATGTTGCTTTTAACCAAAAATTGTTAAGTTGTTGCTTTACATTTGCAGAGAATTTAGGAATCAGAACGTGGCAATCTCTCTTCTTCCTGCTCCTTTCGACCCCCCACCCCCCACCCTTTTTTCTTGTAAGGGATAGATGTCTCTTGCCAGAACATCCCCCAGTATTGTCCATACCTTATAGTTAGACCCCTCATCATAACCTCTACCAAATAGTGAAATAGTCTCCCATCTGATCAAATTCTCCTGCTCCCTCTTGTGGCAAATATTCTCCCTGACTTTCCCCAGATTTCAGAATCGCAACTACCATCCCTCAAGGCCCCGTTAGCTGCCTATCACTTGGGTTCTAATCTCAGTAATATTTGTGGCTGACCAAGACAGTGGGCTGCTGAACTAGGCATTTCCAGTTTTCTCTCTGAACAAAGGGAAATCTACCCCCTGGAGACATACTTGAGATTTAGTGAAAGTACATGTCAGATGCTTTCTGACCCATTGGGATGGAGTAGATTCCGGAAATGTGAGCTTTCACAGTCAGCTTTTGAGATTTTGATTTGGACTCAGAGCTAGTCCGGTGGGGCCTCATTAAATACAGTGAGATTATTTTCCGTTTTCTTTCCTTCTCTTCCAAAAGATACCTCTTTCCCTGTGTGTCTGTGTCTGTGTCTCTCCATCTCTCTCTTTCCCTGCCTCCCTCCCTTCCCAGGCTCTTATACACACACACACACACACACACACACACACACACACACACACCCCACAAAATATATTTTATAGAACACATATTTTGCATGCTTAAACTAATCAATAATTAGGCTCTCAATAAGGTTTGTACATCAAACAATCCATTTTCTGAACTGGAGACTTCTAGGGTGAGCTACTCTCACTGGCATGTTTTCATCGAGAGCGGTTCAGAATACGAATGAGGAGACTGGGTGCCTTTTTCCAGTGTGTTGACTCAACTTGGAAGATGGTTGCTTGCAGCCCTTGCTGCCTCGAGTGTTTTGTGTGGGCTCTCCTGGCTGACAACTCTTATTGAACTCTAAGTGTTTTATTTCCACATCTGTGATCGTCCTTTGATCCGCCCGCCCCGCCAGGAGAGTGTAGTATGTAACGAGATAGACAAAGGTTCAAGAGAATCACATTTTCTCTTAACCTGAAACTTTGTAGCCCATTTCAGGAGGAGGGGGAGGACATATGGAAGGAGAAAAGTCCTGACTGGCAGCTCAAGTGAAGGAAATGTGTTTATGGTCAAGGGCAAGTACATTGTAGGCAGCCGCCTATAAAGTGATTGGAGGGGGGCAAAACATCTTTGGGTTTGAAGCGTTTATCCATCTGTAAACATAAGATCAGAAATTCTCGCTATGGGACCTTCATTTGAATTAAGTAATTCTATCTAGTAGATCCCTAATAAAATGCAAGGACATCACCCAGGAAAGAGCTACCGTTAATTCTCATAAACCATTGACGTCTGTGTACTCGTTAACTTGTATTGGTTTATCAGATCAGCTGACAGAAAAGTCCTGAAGGCCTGGATCACAGGAAGGTGAAGCAGAAGTGAAAGTAGTTTGAAATTGGGTTGGTGCCCAGTTTGTGCCCTCAGAGGCTCCTTCTGGTGGGGAAGTGTGAGGGACCTGAGTGCCCTCAGAGGAAGTAGAGAGTAGCCAGACAGAGGCAAAGATATCAAAAATTTGATCCTTTCTTGAAAACTTAGCTTTTTAAATTCTTCTGAGAATGGGCACATTGTATCCCCCCGTGTGAAATGTTATCCTTAAAATCTCAAATGGTTTCTACTATGTGTCATTTTAAAATACTCATACCAATAACCTACAAAATGCACATACGATACCAATTCAGACAGATGGTTTCTTGCATATATAATATAGACAGAAAAATAAATTCAAGTATTAGAATTCATCTTAATTTTTAAAAAGACAGAAAAAATAATCACTTTGTAGATGTCATTACATGTGAAGTCAGAATAATGAATAATTTCTTCATTGAATCGAACGTGAGATGAAAAGTCAGACAGATAAGAGGGTGATTCAGCAATTTACTCCAACCCAACCATGATATTTATTGAGCACTCAGTGTATGCAAAGCATTGCACTGGGCTTTTCGGAGAATGCAGATGATGAAGAGGAGTCATTTGACATTTGCTGAGTGCCCACTGCATGCCCAAGGCCAATCTAAGCACCCTGTGTATGTTTTCTCATGTAATGCTCCTAAGTGCCCTGAAAGAAAGCGTCGTTCTCCCAATTTAAAGATGAGACCCTGGCTCAGTTAAATAACTTATCCAAGAGCTAGTAGGTGACAGTACCAGTTT